TCATTGGCATGTGATTTGGCAACATAGATTCTGATGATTTCCTTTTTTTTCTTCATTTATTATGAATTTTTTTCATTTTTGAAATAAAAATTTGGTTTATCTCTTAAAAATAGACTAATAATTTGTTTTTTTAATTATTTATTTAAATCTACCTTTATCATTAATTGTATTTTAAATTTTTCACTTAATAACTTTTGTTATGTTGTCTCATTGGTAGTATTTTCTTTTATGAAATTATCTGTTATCTCTGTTTTGTTATTTAAACTATCAATTCCTTAGGATTAAATTAGTTTCTTTGAGCCTTTCTCTTAAAGGCTCTTTATTAAACATCATTTTAATTGTACTGTCAATTTAGGATGTTTAATTTGCTTTCTTGAGTTCAGCTGAAGCATAATAGATACTTATTCCAGACCTTTGTTTTAACTTTTTTTGGTGAATCTCCATTACATATAAACAACATATTTTTGGATTTTATTTTGTAATTCATTCTGTCCTCTTCCATTTTATGAATGAGTTTAATTCATTCATAGTAATTTTTAAAATTATGTGTTTCCCTCCATTCTGTCCTCTTCCATTTTTTCCTCTTTTTGACATCAACCATTCTTTGCAAAGAAGGGAGGGAGGGAGAAGAAGTGTACTCAGCACTAATAAATTAAAATAAAATGGTGTGATATACTTTTCTCCCCTTCCCTCTTCTCTTTGAGAAGTCCCTGATCAAAGGTCCATGCCCTTTTTATCCTTTTACACTCCTTTTCATTATCTACCCTCCAAGGTTGACATTGGTCTTGTTTCTGAATAATCCCTCCATGAATTTACTCTCCCTCTTATTCTCTCCTTTCCCTTCTTCCAGCACTCCTGTTGTACAGGGTGTATTTCTTCATGAAATTCTGTGTGTGTGTGTGTGTGTGTGTGTGTGTGTGTGTGTTCTACTCTCCTTTGTATATTTCAAATGAAAGTGAGGTTCAAGTGACATTCATTGTCCTCACTCCCACCTCCATGTTTGTATAGTGTCCTTAAACACTAAAATTATGTGAAATAGAAATTTCTACTCCTTTCCTCCATTTCTTTTCCCACCATTTTTGCCTCTCAAGAGCATCAAAACATAACCAAACCATTCCCAGTCCTTCTGTCTTATGTAACTTCTATGACTTTTGATAACATTGAAGTTCTGAGGTGACACTTGTTTCTTCTTTCTCTATTAGAATGTACAGTTAATCCTTGTATAGGCTCTTTGAGTTGGCCAAACATATTTACCTTTTTATGTGAATCAATGATTGCAGTGTTAGCAGTTTGAAGTTTTTACTCAGCTTTGGTCTTTTCATCAGGAAAACTTAAAAGTCTTTTATTTCATTAACAATTCATTCCCCCTGTAAGTTGGAGCTCCAGAAAATAGCTGCTGGTCCCCATCCCTGTCTGCATGCTGGAAGGGTTGGCAGAGTCATAACAATAGAATTTTAGGTTGCCTCTGGTCCACACTCCTTGTCCTGGGTATGCAGCTTCAAGCTTCAGTTCCAGTCCACAGGAAGGCTTTGTGATTCTGATCCAGGGAGAGAATGACAAAACTGCAGGTCCATGTTCCCTTTCCTGATTTACAGTTGCTGGCCATGCCCTGCACTTGGACCTCCCATCCTCCTTCCTCCCTACCAATGCCCACAGAGGGCTGGTTGTCTCTCTGTGCCAGTCTGGACCAGCAAAAGGCACCCATTGTTTCTCCTTGAATTTCCTGATTACCATTAGTTCTAGTACTCTTCCTCTATCTTTGCTGGAGTAGTTGTGGTAGAGAGATGGCTTTTATTTCCTCCTCTCATTATATCATCCTTGCTGGTCTCTCTCCCAAATTAAATTCCACCAATCAATTATTAATTCATGTCAGAAATAAAAGTATCAACATTGTAATATTATAATCATGAATATTACAAGAGGTCATTAGTTCACAAAATACCTAAAGCACTTTGTCAGACTATCAGTCCTCCAAGGAACTTGCCTTGAAACCTCTGACACAGAAGGGATACTACTGGTAAGCAGGTGACACCATCACGGTTCTAGCTTCCAGTATCCTCCAGGACACCCCCATGAGCCCAATTTGGAATACACTATACCAAACTAAGCAGAGCCATTTAAAATTTATTAAGGGTTAGAGGGTTATGTGTATGAAAAAATATTTCCCACAGCATCCTTTCAGAAACAGACATTTTTACCTTATATTCAGATTAATCCTGTCACCTTTATGCAGAATATGGAGCAGTAGCAGTAACTGGCTAGGTGATTACTATCCTCTGCTTAGCCTTATAATGAATTCTTTCTCTATTATTTCTTATTCTTCCATCTCTGTCATGAGGTTTTCATGTTTTCCTGTTTTCATTCCTTAATATAATTGGTGTCAGAAGAATGACTTATCCTGGAATATTAAAATATCTAATATGTATTTCTCTTCTCATTTGCAGGTGCTATTTCAAGAATGTTTAATGAGAAGAGAAATTGTGACTAAGTTAATCCATTTTCATGATAAAGAGGAAAAGATGAAAAACATGTACAGGACAAAATTAATCAACCCTCCAGATAATCTGAAGAATGTCACAGGAGGAGGAAGTAGCTCAGAAATTATCTTCTCTCATGACAAAGTAAGGCAAGTGCTGCACAATGAATCTGATTCTCATGGTAGTTTGGGTGTTGAAATTGTATAGTTCAGCCTGAACACTGCAGCAAACAGAGCACCTATTGAATAGACTTCCCCAGAGACAGCTTCAGTGTGCAACCTAATCTGTGGCAGAATCTGATTTGAGTTATCCATGAACAGCATTTACATTCTAGATAGGTCATTCAGGCACTCATATGAAGGTTTGAAAAAGTTTCATTATGAGTTTTTATTCCCCTCCTTTATCAGTCAAGAGAGTGCATTGGATGCCAGATGGGTTAACCAAGGACATTGGAAATACTTGTATAGTGTCCAGTCTAATATAGTTTGGGGCTAGAAGAGCTGATTTATAAATTTGTTCTTTAAAGATTAAATAGCACTTTATGGCTACAAAGCATCTTATATACATTATCCTTTCATATTGTCATAACAATCCTATGAGGTGATAGTGTATTATTATCCCTTGTTTACAAGTGAAGAAATGGAAGGTCAAGTTAAATGCTTTATTCAAGGTTACAAGCTAATAAATTGGACTTGATCTCAACTGTTCTTGCTCTAAATTGTGTTCTTTCCACTCTACCACACTCGTTTGGCATACTTTTTAATTCTGAATTTAATTTTTGTCTTTGCATCCGTAGTACCTGGCACATAGTTAGCACCTGATACATCTTTCTTTAATCCTCCATGGATTGTACCCTAGTATGGTGTCTGAGCATGTTCTTGGGGAGTTGGAGCAGAGTAAAAAAAAAAGCCTTGAAAAGGCTGGCTCAACTTCTAAAATCTGACTTCTGTCTCATAGCTTTATGTTTAAGAAAAACAGTATTGAACCCCTACTCATATATTTTCAAATTAAAAAAAATTAATAGACCACCATGGCAGATTGGCATCTCACCTGTAATAGAGTCTTAGAGATTTGCCTTGAACACAAAAATATTACTTGACTTGCTAATGGTCACACAGGTAGTATGATTATTATTTCTATAACTTAAAATAATATAACATTTAAATAACTGACATTTCTCTAGTGCTTCACAAATATTACCTCATTTTATCTTCATAATAAACCTGGAAAGGAGGTGCTATTATTTTCCCCATTTCATAGATGAAAAACCTGAGGCAGGCAAAGGTTAAGTGACTTGCCCAAGGTCACAAATAACTAATAAGTGTCCAAAGCTGAATTTGAATTCAGGTCTTTCTGATTCCAGGTCTAGCACTCTATAAATTATACCATCTAGCTTATACTGATGTATAAGTCAGAGGCTAGGACTTGACCTCATTTTGTATTTCCATATTTAAAAAATTATTAAAGCCTTTTTATTTTTATGTAACAGCTTCTTAATATATCCTTTCCCTTTTTTCACCTAGAAAACTATGATTTATGAAAAGAATAAAAAACAAAGTAGAAGGAGGGGGTTAGGAATTCAACAAAATTATAATAATAGTTGCATTTATATGGTGTTTCAAAGGTGCAAAGCAATTTATAAATATTATCTCATCTGATTGTTATGACGATACTGAAAGGTAGGTGATATTATTTCTCCATTTTACAGATAAGGAAACCAGGGCATACAAGTCACTTGCCCAGGTCACAAAGTTAATAAATGTTTTAAGGCTGGATTTTAATTCAGGCTTTCCTGAGTCAAGGCCCAGTGTTCTATCCATTGTAATACCTAGCTGTCTCTAGCCAATATATTAACTGTCTTACTGTATATATAGCATTACATGCCCATAGTCCTCCACCTCTGCAAAGAAGGGAAGGAATTATGTCTCCATATTTCTTTTTTCAGAGCCAACTTGGTCATTCTGATTTAAGTATTTTTCAATTTGTCTGTTGTGGTTATTGTCTTCATTATTGTTTTCTTGCTTCTGTTTACTTTGCTTTGTGTTTGTGTTCCTTTTCATGACAAAAGCAAGAAAGTTACCCAAAACATATCTGTTCAAATGTTCATGCACAGAAATCTTTAGCCAGTTAACTTCAAATTCAGTGGAGATGCTCTTTGGGTGTTAGACACAAAGACCAAAACCTCTTCAGCTTCGTAGGGCCTGCCAGATGCTGTATTCCATTAGCATAGCTTATGAGAATCCAGAGCCACATCTTGGCTACAATGATATTTTGGAGTAGAGGAGTTTGCAGGAATTCATCACTGGTAGGTTGACCACCAGGGTATGAAATTATCGCCCACAGAGTGTAGGAAGACCATCTTCAAAGAGCTGAGGAGTTGTGACCTTCCTCTTTAGAGAGGATATTTAGAATCCATGTCAGTAAAATTCTGGAGCTTGTGAAGCAAGTCAGATTTGACCCAAATTCTTGATCGGGATTACTTTATACTTGATTATTTTCTTATTTTTTTTCCTCTTGGTTCAGGCTTTGGAAGATCGGGTATGGGACCTGTTACAAGAGGCAGACAAGGCAGCAGAAGAGAACAAGGACCAGCATCAGGTCTATGAAGCTATGGCTGAGACTCTGGGAGATGCCTGGGCAGTCCTGGTCACTGTCCTGGAGAGGAGAAGAGAGCTCCTGAAACTGACTTCAGAATTTTTCGAAAATGCCCTGGAGGTTTGTGTTGGGAAATTCTATTTCTGCCTGTTTCACAGAAGGGCTTACAAATGAAAATCTTTAAATATTTTTGCTCTCCAATTTTCACAAATGAGAATTTTGTAAAAAGCACTTAGATTTTTTTTCTTGGTAGATGAAGAATAATATTATTGAACTCAAACGTGGCATTATTTATTAGCAAATGTAGACATTCAGCCTAAAACTGAGTAGTAAAGAAGGTAGTTTCTCTTCTTTGAAGATAGTAGAAAATAATTAAATTCCTAGGCTCCAGCTTTCTTTGGAGCTTCTGAGATGCATAGTTCTGATGATTTATTCCTTCCTGGAGGGATGGGAAGATTCCTGTGGAATAATAGAATGTCTCTTCCAAGTAATTTTCCTATCTTTTTAGACATTTTCAAAGTATCATGAAGAAAAACTAGAACTGGCTTTCCCCCATCCCACCAAGATAGAAGTGACCTTTCTTTTCTATGATTCAACTCATAGCATTTTGACCCTCTTGTTATGATTGGGTAGAGTATCATATTGGTTATTTGTATATGTGTCTTACCTTTCTCAATAGATCAAAAACTTCACGAGATCAAGGCCCCTGTCTCATTCATCTTTGTAGCCCCATCAATGCCTAACAAAATTAGTAAGCTTGCATCTATAAATACCTGCCACGTGCGAGACACTTTGATAAGTACCAGGAATACAAAGAATGAAATGATCCTTACTCTAAAGGAGGTTGCATTCTAATTGGGGAGACAAGAAAGATACATGGATATATTACTGTTCTTGTTCATCCTGGGTGATGTCCTAACTTGTGTGTAAATTGGATTTAAGTGAGGCACAGTTGAGCAAAGTAGTCAGCCTTACTCTCTTCCTGAGAAAAGTCCAGTGGTAAAACAAAAGTCAAGATGACTGGTGATATCCCAGGATCCAGTGGATGACCTTGGCATCTTTGATGTTTGACCAAGCTCTAAGCACTCCACAGTGTCTTCGGCCCACCTTCGTGGACATTGGAACAAATTGTTCTCATCTTCTATTCCACCAGGGAAAGCATTCCCATGCTTTACAAAGGCATGTAAATGGGAGGAAATGCAGTGCCATGTGTGAAGACTAGAGAGAAGGCCACTTTGGCTGAATTACAGAGTGAAGAAAGGATAGGAACACCCCCCCAACTCACCAATAGGTTTGAGGCCTGTCAGTTACCTTCAACCTGGTTTAGAAATGTCTGCTGAGACAGTTTCTTAGGGTGTGGCTATTGCACAAGCTACAGCATCTTGTAGCCACAGGTGAGAGTTAGGTGGCAGGTGGACACCAAAGGTGGATGAACAGCCCCGAAAAGGTCTCAGTAAGCCCTCATACTAGAGGTGTTGGTTCTCGCTGAATAGCCCATATACTCCATATGTATACATAGAATAAATGTGAAGATAATCAGTGTAGGGTAGTTAGCGAGGGTAAATCACTAGCCCTAACTGAGTTCAGGAAAGAGTTCATAAAAAAAATGGTGCTTGAGTTTCATTTTGATGGAAAAGATTGTTTGAGGTGGAGATGAAGAGAGAATTCATTCCAGGGAAGGAAGATAGTCATTACAGAGGCATGTAAATAGTAATTTTTATTTATTTTTTTCTTTTCAACATTTACTTCCACAAGATTTTGAGTTCCAAATTTTCACCCCATCTCACCCTTCCCCCCGCCCCAAGATGGCATGCATTCTAAATACCCCTTCCCCTAGTCTGCTTTTCCTTCTATCTCTCTCCCCCTTCTCTTATCCCCTTCCCCTTCAATTTTCCTGTAGGGCAGGATGGATTTCTGTACCCCATGTCCTATATTTCTTATTTCCCAGTTGCAAGTGAAAAAACTTTTTTCAAACATGTGTTTTTAAAACTTTGGGTTCCAAATTTTCTCCCTTACTCCTTCCCCACCCACCCTCGTTGATAAGTCAAGCAACTAAATATAGGTTATACATGTGCAGTTATGCAAAACACTTCCATAGTAGACATGCTGTGAAAAACTAACTCTATTTCCCTTAATCCTATCCCATCCTCCCCCATTTATTCTATTCTTTCTTTTGACCCTGTCCCTCCTCAGAAGTATTTGCTTCTGATTATCCCCTTTCCCAATCTGCCCTCCTCTCTATCATCCCCCTACTCTCTTGTTCCCTTCCCCCCCCCCCATTTTCCTGTAGGGTGAGACAGATTTCCATACCCAATTGAATGTGTATGTTATTCCCTCCTTAAGTCAAATCCTATGAGAATAAGATTCACTTATTCCCTCTCACCTTCCCCCGTTTCCCCTCCACTGTAAGAGCCTTTTCTTTTCTGTTTTTTTTTTGTGAAATAATTTACCCCATTCTACCTCTCCCTTTCTCCTTCTCCTAGTATAATTCTTTTTCACCCCTTAATTTTATTCTCTAGATATGACCCCTTCATCTTCAACTCACCCTGTACCATCTATCTATCTATCTATCTATCTATCTATCTATCTATCTATCTATC